CGGGCAGTCGGCGGGGGACACCCTGAATTGGTTGCCAACCAATCGCACGGCACACATAGACGAACAACCAACCATCCATGCTCACAATGACACCTAGGAACTATTTACCGCGTTCCATTATCCTGCCACGCACGTTTTTGGAATGTGGGAGGAAACCGGAGTATCCGGAGAACACCCACGCAGGCACGGGGAGAGCTTGCTAACTCCACTCAAGAAGCCAGATGAAATGAGATGACCATTACAAATATGTATCATGTTTAATAATTGGCTCCTCGTGGATGAAGTCAGACAGCAGGCATTTTACGTTGCCATGGTACAGACAACTGTCATGTCTTTTTCGCTGAAAATACTGTTATTGGTGCGTGTTTTACGACAGAATGCCGATCTCGATTAATAGCCTCTCAAAGAACACACTCAACTGTTTACATCGAATATTGAAAGTATTTTATCACAGTATTGTGAAATGTGACTTACAGAGACAATGTTTACATGTCATAGCGACCACCCCCCTCCCCGGATGGACTTTGCTTTCATTTCATTGTTCATGGTTTTGAAAACATGACGCCGCCGAATCGTTTAGTAGCATTCACATATTTACCTTATCAGAGAAAATGTATAATTGCATTATTACTGAAGAAATGTACGTGTATTGTGCTTCTCCTAGCCCCATTGGTACGACCGCATATCAGACAATGTGAGCTTTTCGCCGTGGAGACAGAAAATAACGCGAAGACGTTACAGAGAAATCAATGTCTTTAACTTTGGCGTGCTTATCAATTGGCAACGTAAAATGGCCGCCGGCGGCTTAACTTCGCGTCGTCTCAAACTTCTACTAACCGGAATAAGTTTTCTTTTTATTTTCTTCAAAATAAAGCTGTACTGTTTTCCCTATGATAGGAATTGGAGGAAAATATAGGTACAAATTAAACAGTACTTTAAAAAAGTAATTGTAGTGTTTGATAATTTGACAACAGTTGTTTTAATGCATAACATTGCGCTGGCCTTCAATTAATAGATATTTATTTTGAAAGGAAACGTCCAACTCGTGCGTTTCGCTACCGTATTATCAAAAGATATGAATGGAAGTGCGACTATTGACGTTGTTGTCAATGTAGGAAACGACACCACTGTTTTAACCTTTCGCCTCAAGTAATGTCGTATTCGGTAACTCGACAATGAATCTTCTAGAATACCACAATCTGGAACGTGTAGCAATTGTTTGCAGTGGTTCCCGATTAATTTAGCCTAGCCTGCATTGATCAGCGCCGGGTGAACTTCAGTGTTTTGTTTGTCAAGTGTAACTTCATTCCGCCCCACTGCCTTGCTTCTTGTCATGGAGTCACTCGGGGCCATTCTTGGGTGTTTGGCTCTAAGTGGACTTATATTTGCTGCCAACAGACTTGGCTTACTGTACCAGTTGTTCCACAAGGTAAGCGTTCACGGACAAATTATCCGCGTTCACGGATAAAATCAATTATAGTGTTTATTTCGAGTTTCTTTTTACTACACAGCCAGAATGTTGAGCGCCATTTTAGTGAACCAATTATCCCACTTCTATGTGCTATCATTCCCTTTAGCGAGTGTGACATGAAAAATTAAGTCCACCTAACCTTATACTTTGTATGTCTTCCTAACACAAAGGTCAATGTCACACCCTGGCATGTTGGGAATGATGGATGTCTTTTTTTTTTATTTTTATAGATGCAGCTGTGGTAAATCAGTTCACACTAGATTTTTAAAATCTCGTCCTTTTTGACATCCCACAGACTGAGACAAAAAGCCCAAGGCATGGTGGCGAAAGCGTGGCAGAGGTCCTGCGTGCCCACGGGATCAAGTATGTCTTCACTCTGGTTGGTGGACACATCTCGCCCATCCTGGTGGCCTGCGAGAAAGTGGGCATCCGGATTGTGGACACCAGGCACGAGGCCACGGCTGTCTTTGCTGCTGATGCAGTGGCGCGGCTTTCAGGTGCCCTTTTATCACGACACATACAGTGGCCATGTTGTTTTCTTTTTGATATTGACTTCTTGTCACCAGATTTCCTCAGCAGTCAGGATGATGATGAATGAATGTATAGATTTCATCTTCCACTTACAGTCTTGACCAAGGTCTGAGTGTGAATGATGTGTGATTGGTTGAAAACAAAGGTGTAGACAGTAAGCACTGTAGTACAATGCAAGCAAAAGACACAGGCTATGTTAAATAGGAAATTTTTAGTCTACGCTGCGGGCCGCTCAAACACGGATGGCCATGGTGTGTACACTCCTGATTTAAACCATGTGAACATTTGTTGAACTTGCAATTATCGTGTATCAAATGATGTGTCCTTTTACTGACTGTCTTCCCATTAGGTACCGTTGGTGTAGCTGCAGTGACTGCCGGCCCAGGTCTCACTAACACCGTGACAGCGGTGAAGAACGCTCAAATGGCGGAATCGCCCTTGTTGCTCATCGGAGGGGCTGCTGGGACACTTCTTCAGGTACAGTCAAATTGTTATGTTGTGACAATCTGTAGTGAGTGTAATTAATGTTGCTGAAATGTTCCAACCAATGTTTTTCTGGTATTTGTTGTTTTGGGTTCCAGGGCAGAGGAGCACTGCAAGACATTGACCAAATGTCTCTGTTTAAGCCTCTGTGTAAGTTCTGTGCCTCCATCAGAACGGTCCGAGAAATCGTGCCTGTTGTCAGAAAGGCGCTGGCTGTTGCCCAGTCTGGAACACCCGGGCCCGTTTTTATAGAATTCCCCATCGACACTCTGTACCCTTACCATTTGGTGTCCAGAGAGTTTGCTGTTAAAAACCCTCCCAAAGGCCTGATGGGCAAAATTATCTCCTGGTACGTTCATTTTTTGTTTTCCCCCCTCTATGTTATGGACAAAGTTCAAGTGCCATTTGTGGGTTGCCTGCACAATCATACAGTCACCGACCGCAACATTAAGCACAACTGAACAAGTTGATGAAAGCCAATAACGGCGCTCTAGTAACATTTCTGCTTTAACAAAGATAATGATGGTCAATTTTGATAAGATTATTTAGCATTCTTGGAGGGGCAACATTTTTACATCAACATCAGTCGAAAATATGCAAATATTTTCTAAAATATTGGGGAAAAAAATCTGCAAATGTTTGAAATACGCGGGTGCTGAACCGTGTGCACGCAGGGTTTCCACTGTACATATTTAAAAATCTATTGAATTCTACTGTGTGTATATGATGAATGAAACTGAATGCATACTTGCTAGGTACCTTAACAACCACCTCACGAACATTTTTGCTGGTGCCTGGGAGAGAAGAGACGTTTCACCTCTACCTGTTGACATTCCACAAGCCACAGATGATCAGGTACATCAACACGTGGCTCTGTTTTTTTTTTTTTTTTTCCCCAAACCTAGTGATGTGATACAGTGTGGGAAACATAGATCTATTTTTTTGCAATGCTCATTAGGTACAAAAGTGTATTGAGCTGGTAAGCCGAGCCAAGAAGCCTGTTATCCTCCTCGGAAGCCAAGCCACGCTACCACCAACACCAGTCAATGAGATCAGGTGAAAATGTGTTTTGCTAAAGTATTTTATTGTATAAGTACTCATTGTGCTTCACTGTTGTAGGGCATGTTTATTCCGTGAGGGTAAATTAGGCGTAACATCCAATCGGATCCTTTTGATGGCATTACAGGCGTGCTTTGGAGGACTTGGGCATTCCTTGCTTCCTTGGGGGCATGTCTCGAGGCATGCTCGGTAAAGACAGCCCAATCCACATTCGACAAAACAGACGCGATGCTCTGAAGGAGGCCGATGTTGTGATCCTCGCAGGTCAGACGTTGAGTATTGACCGTTGAAATCATGTTTTCTTTTTTTTTTTCCAGCAAGTGCTCAAGTTTAAGTGTATCGGCAGTTGAGAAAAAGACACAAAAGAAGTGACAAAAGGCCAAAGGACATGCAAAGGGAGTTTTAAAAACTGCAATATGGATTTTAAATTGTTTTTTTCATTTTGAAGAAAGTTCCGTGTCTGTTTGTCCTTCATACTTTGAGTACATGCCCGGCTGGTGCTGATGAGAATGCTCTGTCATGGTAGGAAGTCTTTCCCACTTCCTCGTTTCATTTTCACCCATTCATCACATTCAACATTTGACCTAGGTATAAAGAATTTGATTGAGTGTGAGCCTCTGAGTCAAATAGTTGAGAACATCATAGGGAGTGCAAGTCACTTCTTAGTTCATTTACTTTGTGTAGGTACAGCTGCCGGTGTTTCTTATTCTGGGAAATACTGCAACATTTAGTCCACAAATGCATGTCAGATGATAAATCATATTTATTTGGACTTTGATCTTTCCTGTCGAGCCCGATAAGGCTAGATTAGACAGACAAGTTTATGCTTAGCTTTCTTATCTTGAAACGTGATGTAATTGTCTTCTTTATTCAGTCAATAATCGACAGTATGAAAGATATGTTTCTAAAAATTGTGAGTAGTTTGATTCGTTTTTTTGTTTTGCAGGCACGGTGTGCGACTTCCGTTTGGGCTACGGCAAAGTTCTGAACAGACGTAGTAAGATCATCGCTGTCAACAGAGACAGGATGCAGCTGCTCAAAAACTCGGATATGTTCTGGACACCAACTGTCGCAATTCAAGGTTTGTTTGTAGCTATTTTTTGTTTTTTTTGGTCACTTGCATTTGCAATTTGTAAAATGTTTGTCGATCATAGGTGACGCTGGTTCATTTTTAGTACGGCTTTTCAAAGGCTTAAAGGGCCATCGATGTCCGGAAGAATGGCCTCAAACCCTCAAAGCAGGAGACGTGATCAAAGAAAACATAAATAGGTAAGGAGGCCATCTAAAATGTTTTCCTGACTAATTATGGAAGAGTACTGGTGATAGACGCACACAAAAAAAATGCTCACTATCACGTAATGACATAAAAAGTATCGCATTATTCATTTTATAACGTGAACTTGCATCAAGACATGATTTAGTGTTTTGGGTGTTTGAAGAGCATGACATTGACTTTAGCAAAGGTAATTGTTGTCTTTTTTCATTTTCAGGGTTAAAGCCGATGAGAAGACGGAGCATCACCTGAACCCCTTGAAGGTACTTCACGTGTTGGACGAGCACATGTCAGAGGACAGTATCATTGTAGCGGACGGCGGGGATTTCGTAGGAAGTGCTGCTTATATCTTGAGGCCGCGGGCACCGCTGCGTTGGCTCGATCCAGGTTCGCTCTTTCTCTTTACGTGACATGAAAAACTCTTTGGGGATTGCAGTTAAAATGAATTGGATATTAGGAGAATAATGATTCCCAACAGGGGCCTTTGGAACGCTGGGCGTAGGAGGAGGATTTGCGCTCGGTGCAAAACTGTGCCGGCCTGAATCAGAGGTGCTGAGCGGATGCAAGTTTTTTTTGGAAAAAGGATCCATCTGCTTGTGACGCTTCATGAATGAAATCTGACCTCCTGTGCGTTTTAGGTGTGGATTGTCTACGGTGACGGTTCCCTTGGATACAGTGTTGCCGAGTTTGACACGTTCACTCGACATAAGGTACATCCATCATATTCATTACATTTCTGTGATACTGTTGTTAGAATAGAGGTCAAGCATCATATCCATCCATCCATCCATTTTCTGATCCGCTTTATCCTCACAAGGGTCACGAACAAAACAAAAACAAAATCCTATGTCTTTGTGACAGATATGGGAGGCAATTTTATGAAAATGCAAATGTTTGTACAATAAAGGCATCCCCTATCTGCAGTGGAGATGCATCACTTAAAGAGGGATTCTCTTCTGTTTACAGACACCAGTTATTGCTGTGGTGGGAAATGACGCATGTTGGAGTCAGATTTCCAGAGAACAGGTTCCCATTCTGGGCAGCAACGTGGCATGTGGCCTGGCATATACAGGTTGGTGCTTGATGATTGGTTCTATCTCTCGTGTTCTAATGTATTCCGCTGACCTCCCTGTTTGCAGATTATCACACTGTGGCTGATGGGTATGGTGGTAAAGGCTACCTTATAAGGCGTGAGGATGAAGAGCAGCTCGGGTACATCATCAGGGAGGCTCGAAAGGAAAGCCGAATGGGAAAAGCAACACTTCTCAATGTCCTGATAGGCAAAACTAACTTTAGAGAGGGCTCCATCTCTGTTTAATGTTCATGTGCTCTGAGCATATTCAGCCAGTACCAATGGCTGCTTTAATTATTATTATTATTATTTTTTTTTTATAGTATAGAAGAAAATGGATCGTGAAAGCCTTAATCATACAGTTAAACATTTTCTGCTTCCAGGGTTACTTTTCTGCCCAAACCATAATCATTGCATTTCAATAAGGGACACCCGCAAAAAAAAAAAAAAAAAAAAAAAAACGCTGGCATTGGGCTAAATAAACCCTCCTGTCACAATTTGGTAAATTTCATATTTTTCACAAATTTATACTACTGTCCACTCCACACTTGTGTTTTTGTTTTTCTAAATTGACAAATCAAAAGCGTTGAAAATGGCTCGCTGTCTTTGACGATGTAATGCTAATGACAATAAACATGCCGTTTTTGGGGAACTGCCGAAAAGTGAGAATTTTTTTCGATACAAGTAATTCCACCCAACGTTATCATCAACTTGTACAGAGCATTTGTTCACCACGTACGTATTGCAGTTTCTTGCGTTGTTAATTAGATGCAACCAGAATGCCTTCAATCCCGTTGTGAAATGAACATTAAGCCTTTGTGTTTGAAACCTGTTGTATTCTCCAGAGCAGGGGTGCCCAAGTCCGTGTCTTGAAATCCCCGATCCAGCCTGTTGACAATTTCTCCCTCTTCCAACACACCTGATTCAAATGATCAGGATCATAATCAGGCTTTTCAGGCTGAAGAATTTGAAAACATTTTGAATGCTTTCAAGTATATGCCTTTCGGATGCTCAGATAGAATAACAGTAATATACAGTATTGCAGAATATATTGATATATGTGACTGTAATATACACAAATGATGTCATTTTTAGCAGGTGGATGTTATTTCATCTCAGGGGCCAGTTGTTTGTCCTCCAAGACCATATTAAACGTTAGAAAAAAAATATATGATAGCAATCAGTCAAACAAATACTCATTTTTATATAAGATGAGCATTTCAGGGTTTAGTGTTTTTGTGATTTTTAGAGCACTTTCCCCTGGGGGGTTTTGTCGTATTTCTAGAATTGCATAGCAGGCCAGATCAAATGCTCCCGCCCACTCCTGCTTTACATTCTGCATCATATATTGCACTATAAATGTTCATGATTGGTTCACAAGGAAAATGCACGTTTATTGCTGCTGTATGAAGGGATTTTTTTCAGTGTCCAATAGAAAATGTGTGTTGAATTTCATTATCTAATAAACTGACAAATAAAGACGGGCGACTTTTGTTTTTTGTAATTTATCAAATATTGTCATAGTTTTGTATGATTTTGATGAACCATCTATCTAATCATTCTTTCTCTTGCGCTTATCCAGCGTCGGGTCGTGGAATCAGCAATGTAAGCAGGGAAGCCCAGACTTTGTTCTCCGCAGCCACTTCGTTCATCTCTTCCTGAGGCTTTCCCAGGCCAACCTGGTAGACTTAGTCTCTCAGGGTGTCCTGGGTCATCCCCGCAGACTCCTCCCAATGGGAACATGCCCAGAACACCTTCACCATGGTGGCATCCAGGAGGTATTTGAACAAGATGACCAAGCTCCCTCATCTGGCTCTTCTCAATGCAATTCGACTCGGAGCTCCACCCGTGTGACTGAAATTCCCACCCTATCTAGCCCAGACACCCAATTTCAGAGGCTAGTATCATCTTTTTCTTTCGGTCAAAATCCACAACTCACGACCATAGGTAAGGGTAGGAACGTAGATCGACCGCATCATGGCAGAGACCGCACCAATCCGCCTGTCCATGTCCTGCTCCGTTCTTCCCACCCTTGTGAACAAGAAAGCCCCAAAGATACTTGAACTCCTTCGGTTGGGGCAAGGTCTCATTCCGGACCTAAATAAAGCACTCCATTGTTTTCTGACTTAAAAACATAGTCTCAAATTTGAAGATGCTGAGTATCATCAGTACCGCTTCACACTTGGGTGCAAACCACTCCAGTGAGAGTTGAAGATTGCAGCTTGGGGAAGCCAACATAACCACATAATCTGCAAAAAATTGCGAGGTAATACTGTGTAAAAACCTAGACCAACAACAGTAAAACTCAGGACTCAAACTCAATATCTCTGTTCCCACATCACATTGACAGCAAGGACCAAATTTTCCTTGGATTCTTTCGGCCAGGGTTCTTTGCCATAATGAGACGTGGTATTCTAGGTAAGGTAAAACGTGTTCACTAAAAAGAAGGAAGCTTCGAATCCAACTGGTAGTAGTTCGTCTGCTGTCAACCAGATTAGGGGATGGGATTTTGGCTGCCAGTCTGATGTGTAATTTATAATTATACAAGTAGCACCACAGGATAAATCGCAGGAACAGTCAAATTATGAAAACATGTTCGATTTACAGTCTGAAAAATACGGTAGTTATTATCCATTTTAGAAAGTGCTGACTGAAAATCGCAGAAGTTATTTTTCAAAGTGACTAAAAATACGTGTTCACAATTATGTTAAAGGGGAGGACGGATTTAGTTGAGGACAAAACACAGAGGGGGAGGGGGTCGTATTACTATTTACGTCATCATTTTCCGAAAGGAGATACAATAAACACTATTTTTATATATAGTAATGTGCGCATACACTGAGGACACTAATCTCTTCGCCTTTGACGTCACATCATTGGTTGTGTTTGAATCGTATTGCTTTCAAACGCTCATTAAAGTGTAGAAAATGAATAACATAATTAAGTAAAACACAATGGCTACTTATTATGACTTGAAAACGTGTCATTAAGCTCCGACTTGTCGATATGAGTATGAGAATTATTACGAGAATTAATACGAGTTCTATTTGATATATATGATACAATGTACTGTGTCTTGATGGAAGAAATGTACGGCCTCTTTCTGACACGCCACGCTACTGTAAACGACACGCTTTTGTTATCCGTGATGCACGTGAAAGCATCATAAGACAAGCAGCAGAATCACCACAGGCGGCGACTTCAACCACCCTGCTCTGTCTCTCGGCTCTCACGCGAAACACAAACTCAACATTGGACAAAAGTGCTGAGCCTCTGCGTAGTCCAAACTTTATTTCGGAACGTTTCTATGCCATTTGCGAAGGCTCCTTCAGGCTCCGCGTTTATCATGACAAGTTAACCCGGGTTCCTGTGCCATTTAAACAAGGTTAGAAAGACAGCTATAGCAACAGTTGTGCTATTAAAGTCGAGTTAGCTCGGTGCTTCGTCAGTTTGTAAGCCGGGTTTTGTCCATCACTTCTTGTTACAAATACTTGATGACGTGGACTTATTTCGATTACAAAAAGCTGAGATTGCCAGGAGTGGTACGACTGTTTCTCACTGAGCTGGAATTATAGGAAGTTCTCCGTGAACAGACTTTCAAACAAACGTCGGGCGCTTCCTCCCTTAAAAATAAAGGTAAGTAATTTTCATGCAGATGAGCGCGTTGACAAATACTGTATGTACATTCACTCGTCATTTTCCCTGGGATAGCTCAAACTACAGGCTCTTTGTCTCAGTCCTGGGTCTCATTATTACAGAAGATGCGCCGAATGTGTACTTCCTGTTTTATCTGGACTCAGACACCGCGCTGTACATCGTTTCGTTTAACTGCATAATAATATAAACCATTGGCGCGTTAGTGAGGTAATCGGAAAAGTTTGTTTTGCGGTATGGCATTGACTGTTTTGATGGTTCCAGGTGCTGAATGGCCTCTGTTGTAGCGGTGAAAACCGAGAAACGAACTGCAGCTGATTCTCAGGATGCAGATTCAAATGGAAAGAAGCCTAGGTAAGCATATGTCATTGTGAATACTGGTCATGCTTCAAAGACACCCAGAAGTCAACTGTCTGTCATTGAAAAGTAAACTATATACTGTATTTAGGTGTAATACAATGTACCTTTATTTATATAGTGCTTTCACAACAGCTGCAGCTGTAATAAAGTACTTTTCAGAACATATTGCGTAAAATAACAATACAACAGAACACATAAGATAAAACATCGACTCTCTGTACACACTCGATGTCGAAGAGATGTGTCAGAAAAGCTCCAGACTGGTGTCACAAAAGTTATATTTCAAACCCAAACTGCCAACTAGGAGTTCTCCCCAGCAGAGTGGGCCAGACGGTCAACCAGGACATCTACCAAAAGATCCTGCGTTGTTTGTTCAGTGCGAGAGAAAAGGTGGGAGTTGGGGCAAGGAAATGACTACTGCACCATGACAACGCATCTGATCACAATGCCCTGAGCATCCGTCAGTTCCTGACCGAGAACAGCATTGCCACGCTGGAACAACCTCTGCACTCACCCAACCTGGCTTTGCGAGCTTTTTCCTCATTCCCAAGATGAGGGGACTCATCAAAGGGACCAGTTTTGAACATAGGAATGATGTCAAGATGGCCTTGCCGACTGAGCTGGAGACAGTGAAAGGAGGTGGATTACGTCAAAGAGAAAACCTAGACATTTGTCCTTTAGATTTGAAGTATACCTTTTGTGACACCAGTCCTGGAGTTTGTCTGACACACCTCATATTATATTACAGTATATGTATCAGAATTATGTGTGTCATGCTCCTTTTTATGTTTTTCTTTCACCAAGGCAACTACTTTTATGAGTGGCATATTTCATTTCGTTAAATTGCCATCCTGTAACAAAACAATACGGAAACAATATTACAGTTGATATTTATCTTAATAGGCCTTTGTACCATTGAACTTTACAATAATATGTTCTATGCACCTCCACTGATCTCGACAATGCGTTCTGATTAATATTGTGTTTGGAGTATGAGTTAAGCAAAATCCCCCCGTTATTAGTCATCTCTGGGGGGGCGGCCATTTTGCCACTTTCTGTTAACTGAAAATGACGTCACAGTTGCCAGGGCTCAGGTAACAACCAATCAAGGCTCACTTGTTTTCTGAAGCTGAGCGATTCTTATAAAGAATGTTTTGGAGTTGACTTTCCCTTTAAAGTTTATATGTAACGGCTTATAAGAAAAGTCTCTAATTTGTACCTTGTTACTTCTGACACTGCTCACAAACTAGGACTTGTTCAGGTAATTAATTCTGTAAAGCCCTCCTGTTTTATGGATGCCATTCTAACTGTGTGTCCAAAAGGAAGCTGTTGCCCAGCCTGAAGACAAAGCATGCCCCCGAGCTCGTGTTGGTGATCGGCACGGGGATAAGCTCCGCCGTGGCCCCGCAGGTCCCCGCTCTCCGCTCCTGGAAAGGCCTCATTCAGGCCCTGCTGGATGCCGCCAATGACTTTGACTTACTCGAAGAAGAGGAGAGTCGGCGTTTCCAAAAGCACATGCAGGAAGATAAAAATTTGGTGCATGTGGCTCATGACCTCATTCAGAAACTTTCCCCGGTAAGACATTATGTTTTTGATTTCCCTTTGCTTCTCCTTTCCACACTGCTGTGTCATCGTTTCAAGATCACTAATAGTCTCTGTTTCCATGCTCTATGTTAATTTTTTCCTCAAAATAAAGAGAGCCAATGATGCCAACTCCTATGACTGCGGCATAACAAAAGGTCTGGCTGTTAAACAATTTTTTTTTTATTTTTGGACATCGGCAAATAGTTACAATTTATCTTGGTATGGTTTTATCATACGGTGGCTACGTTAAATTGCTACTTCAAATATTGTCTGTACAGTTAGCAAAGGTTTGAAGAAGTTAATCTCTTTTCAAACAAATTGTGTTTCGACCACTATCTCTGATCTGGCAAACATTCAGAGGGGAGATTACAGCATGTGCTGGGAGGTGATGTGAGTTTCTACACATGAACGGTAAACGGCACTTGTTATTTTATTAACGATGTTTAATTGTTGCCTCTGCTTCGTTATATTGAGCAGCCAAGTTCCATTCATAGTTCTGTTTAAAAGGTGTGATTTGCCTATATTCTTGCCATCCTGACAAAAAAAAACACCAAGTGACACACACACACACACACACACACACACACACACACACAAAAGGCAAAGAAAAAGTAAATCTCACTTGAGATAATCTATTACAGTTTCGCCTGATTTAACAGCATGGTGGATTGGATTTGCCCGCCGCATTTTTGTGCGTCTTGAGAGCAGTGCGTTTCACTGACATATTTGTCTGTTTCCAAGTTGTATATTATCTTGAGGCCATTTGAATTTTGAAGTTTGATGTAAAATACCTGCAAATCGATGCCCACTCTTTGTGCGTGGACTTGCTTGAATATATAATGGCATATAAATACAATAGTTTATGAAATATCACCTTGACATCA